CAAAATCAAATTTTATACTTTACTAAATTAAAAATAATACCAATACCAAAATCAAGAGGGAATTTTCAATTAATTATATATGTATATAGTTTTTAATCTACCTTAAGGCAAAATTTTCACCCAATACTCAATCAACACACATCTTGGCTATCTTTCCTTTGCTGGCATATGCTCAAATAATGCAAAGTAATTTTAACCCATGTATAATCAAAATAAGTAAGTAAAAATATAAGTAAAATTAAAAGTACTGTAAGTGTACTTGCACCACAAGGCCTAGTATATAAATATTTTTTCTTTTCAGCATCCATATTCACTCTTACTTTATACACAAAGAACTATGATAAATCAATAATTAAAAATAAATTTACAAATATTTTTAATATCTTTTATCACCTTGATTTTAATTCATTTTGATCAATAAATACGTCCTACCTTTAACCTTTTCGTAATAGTTCATTTTTTTATGTAGTAAAACTAATTTGATGGGATTTAAATCTAATTTTGATACGTTTTTCCAATTTATCACTGTTTATAGACCTCTCTACCAGAGGTTAACACTGACTTACTAAAATTCATCACCATGGAGGCAATGTAAGATAGCAGTTTAAATGCTAAACTGGAATCTCAGCTTCACCATAGTGGTGGGACCCTGGAAACAATTACCTAACCTTATCAAAAGCCTCTGTTTCCTCATTTGAAAAACAGGCACAATACCCTACAGACAAGTTTATTGTTAGGATGTAACAAAATAATCCAGAGCATAGTATCCAGCATAGGAGCTAATTAGGGTTAATATCTTCCACATAGCTAATATAAAAAATACTTTAAAAGACGACTTTGGAGAGCAAGATAATTTTTACATCATTCTTACATACTGTGGATCTGTAAATCTGCCTCCTCAAACACAGTTTTCAGTATCATATGTTACTACAGAACATAATAACATCATTTATAGTAGATACCCCACCTATTTTAGATTTATTGGTAGATGTCTACTGATTTTCCAAGTTGACCAATAGGGAGCGGAAACAGGCCAGGATAGGTAAAGCTACACTGGGATATATCCAGTACATTTTTCTGACCCTTGGCAATTCCTCCTGTGCAGGTATCAACTGTAACCAACTAAAAAGTCTGGGGTCAAAATAATGACAAACAATTCACTAATGACAATAAGAATTCTTGGCTTAATACTGTAACTATTTCATAGAAATCTAAAAAAAAAAAAACAAACCAGTCTAACAGCTACTCTCCGCACCAAGTTCAAAGAAACTGCCAAACATGGTTGATTGAATGCTAGTAAGCTATACCATATTTTATATGTATTTTTTCACCTCACAAATACTATATAAAGCAGTTTTAAACGTCATAAACCTATTGCTTATTTTCAGCATTTAAAATGCAAAATGCCATAATCACATTATAAAACACACTTTAAATAATTATTTTCTATTAAAAAGTTTAAGCAATAATTACCCACTCTAAAATTCAAAAGAATCTAAAATGATTCTTTTTCTTCACATATATGAAAAGATAATTTTTAAAACAGATAAAATACTCTAAAGAATATTTTTATAGCTGAGTTTAACGTATGTTCTTCTTCAACAGAGCAATAAATTCATTAAATATTTATCCACCATAGAAGTATAAAGGCTATGTAAAAGAATGTCAGGATATGATGCCATAATTACATACATACAAAGACTAGGAAGCAGCAATAAAGACTTAAAATGCAATGCCTTATAAATATTCAGCACTATTAGACAGTAACGAGCAGAACAGTAGAGCAAAAATTTCATATTCACCAATAGTTTTGTTTTTTTAAATTAAGGACCATCGTCATCTCACTTTTAAAAATCTATCTCAGTTGGCATTATCACTTTCATTGTTCACAATGAAACATTTGCATTGTTTTTCAGCTAGTACTATTTCACCAATGAAGAGAAAGGAGGACAAATACTGCTGAAAGTAAGAAAAAAAAGGCCTTGACAGAGCAAAGATTTTATATGCCATCTTTTCCCACCATAATTGTAGCACTGAACCAATATTTGAAACCTAAACATATCAACAAATATACATACTGTATTAAAACTGTTTGGTCAACATAGTCTGCTTTGCCTCAGAGAAAAGAAAATTTAATTTTCTACTTTTTGTAAAACCAGTGACTTATTAGAAGACAATTACTGGTGTACAAAAGCTACCACACATTGAATGGATGCCATCAATTCCGTCTTTCCTTACTATGTATCTCTCTCTTCTTCATTTCCTCCAGATAACAAGAATACATATGGCAGACTATACTATTTCAATTCCTAACACTGAAAGTTACTTATATTGGGCCTGAACCAAAGGATGAGAATAAATTAAACATTTTATAAAAGCTACTTTTATAATAAATTAGGATACTATTAACAAGGCTTTAATTCTACATTTACTTTTTTTTCTGATTGTGGAAGTGAAAATTCATAAAATACAGAAATGTATTTTTATCACCCATAAATCCCTCCAGAAACCTTTGTTAACATTTTAGATTTCCTTCCAGCCAGACTTAAATTTGCCAACTCCACAGCACCTAACAATTAGAGCTAATAAATATACAAAAAATAATCAATGTATCTTCAGTATGGCCTTTCAATACATGTTATACAAAACAATGATTATTAATATGACCTGTTAGTTTCACAAAGATCTCTAAAACACTAAAATATGTGTTAGGTGGTGGGAGTGGAGTAGGGAGCCTCATAATTCAGAGACTCATCCCTAAACTAAAATCCCTTTCACAAACAATTTTTATAGTGTCAACATTTTAATGGCAGCAAGCTGCAAGATTTGGCTGTTCTTAAGGATATGAACATTAACTTTCCTACATCAAATAGGCTTTAAGGTTTTTTTTGCTGTTTTGTTACAATTCATATTTTAATAATGTGTATTTATTTTTATTGCGTTGTTATTTGTTCAGATGCTGTTGAGTCAATTTTTGACTCATAGCGACCCCATGTGATACAATAGAAATGCCTCATAGGAATTTCTAGGCTGTAATCTTTACGGGAGCCTACTGCCAGGTCTTTCTGCCGCGGAGCTGCAGGGTGGGTTCGAACAAATCAATCTTTGTTGTGTCACCAGGGCTCCTTTTCATTGTAAAATGATAAAATAAAAAATTACATTTGAATAGTAATTTTAAAGCATCTTAAATTCAAAGACTCAACAATTTTCTTTGAAGACCTGCATTCAACCTGTCAGTACTCTGGCCTGTGAGGTGGTTTAGCAGATAAAAACGATAACTCTTTTTATATTCCAATATTCTCTTGTAACTTTCCCATAAATATATACATATAAAGAATATTCCTTAAATATAGCCACATTTTTTGACTTTTGTACCAACCCATTGTTCATGGAAGCAGATGAAATTACTTCATTAACAAAGCAGCACCCCAATATGTAATCAATAAAGCAACTCCTTAGGCTCATAAGAGAACAAAAAACCAATGTTATTTACCTCCAACAAATTTTTCTCTTAAAATTTGATTTAACCTTATTTCTAGCTTCAAGGAAGACTTTGGTCTACTCCAGGTATCAAAGGTCTTAAAATCCCATTCATTTTCTTCTGCCCAGTGGTTACAAAATAAATCGAAAATAGGGTAACTCAGGTTTATGACTTTGACCTTCTTATACAGTGCCTTAAAAAAAAAATTCCTTCAACAACTACTAGAAAAAAGAAACAGCAAAGTTTGAGGAAAGAATCGTCTGTCTTTAAAGTCCAGCATTTCCTGATAAGTGACAGACGATCTGGCTGCCAGGAATACACTTTACTGACCCTAGGAATGGCCAAGACTCGAAATAAAATTTGCCACTTTGTACCTAGAAAATTAATTTGCCTAAGTAAAGAGGTGATAACACATGGTCAATGTTGTGTTTTCGGTGGACATATAAAGGAGGACCTCCACGGATTTCAGCTAAACGCTTTTGTCATGTTTGCAGAAGAAAAGCTAATTGTTAATGGCCATGTGACATTATAGATCTCAGAAAGGAAAGGGTGGGAGGAAGAGAGGAGTTCAAGGCAGTTCAGGGTCAGAACTAGCTCAGGCATCCTGTCATTAGCAAACGTCCCCCAAGCTGAAGGCAAAATATTGCTTACCCGAAAAGGAGTGGGTGAAAAGTAGGAGGAGAATGAGTCTCAAAGTGGCAGTGCGGGGGTGATGGGAGGGAGGGAATCTGGAGCTATCCAGCTGAGTTGGGGAGCAAAAGCATCGGACACAAAAACGCTGAGAAAAGCAACTGCGACGGAGACAATACTTGGCAGCCCCCAATTTTCCCCTCCCCATCGGTTCTCTGGGTTTCCCACATTCCCTCCACCTCTGCTCTGATCAACACTCGGAAGTGTGACCTGCCAGCGGGAGGCTGCCCTGATCTTTGTCTCGGCCCGGTCCCCCACGCGAGGGCTCCTCCTCCTCCCCCGCGCTTTCCACCCGTGCACAACCCCGCCGTTTCCAAGGAGCTGGAAGCGCCGCGGCCACCGCCTCCTCGCTCACCTCCCAGGGATCTGCGCCCCTTCCTTCCTCTCCGGGGCGCGGAACGGGTAGCGCCGCCCGCATCTCCAGCTCCACCCCCGCCAAGGGGACCTTTTTGTCTCGGGGGACTTTCTGCCTCTTCCCCTCCTCCTCCTCACGGGGAATTCGGTCTCCCCTGGAGACCGAAGAGGCAACAAGCACCGGAGGCGGCGGAGGCTGGAAGCGCCTCCCGGGAAAGAGCCTGTCAGACACCCCCACCCCACCCCCGGAAATGCCTGGGCGACCTGCGGACCGCGCTGGATCCGAGGGGCCACAGACACACGGAGACCCCTGCGCCGCACCTCACACTCAACTTCTCGGCCTGGCCTGTGCCTCCCGTCCCCCCATCGGTCCCCTGCCCAGGCCCTCCCTCTCGCGAGCTCTTCAGTCCCTCCCCGCTCGGGGTCGGCCCGACACCAGGGGAAAGCCCCGTGAGGTCGCCCACCGTGAACTCACCAGCAAGTGCGGGGGCCAAGTCCCTGGGCCAGGCGAGGCGCGGAGGGAAAGCGGCTCCGCTGACGCCCGCCGCGACCGGATGCAGGTCCGTGTCCCAGCCGCCCAGCGACCCTAGGCGCCTCCGAGGCGCAGGCCTCCGCCGTCGCCGCCTTCCGGCTCTTGCCGAGGGTCCGGGGCCTCCGGGAGGGGCCAGGAGTCCCTCACGCGTTACTAAGCCCCCCGGTCAACATGGCTCCCGGACTGCGGAGCCGCGCGGGCGGCCCACTAATCCCCTCGGAGAAGCCGGGGCGGGAGCGAGGCGGGCGCAGAGGCGCTGACTCCGGGCTGAGGTGGCCCAGCCGGACGCGGGCTCCTCCTTCTCCCCGGGCTCTGGGGCCGGACCGTGGAGAGCCGAGGAGACCGCGGACAGCTGCTTCGCTCGCTGCGTGAGCGTCACTTTCTCACTCGGTGACTGCGGCTTGACGCCTCCGCTTGTTCCCGGGAGGAGAGCGAGCGAAAGAGAAAAGAGACTTATTGAAACGCTCCAACCAGCAGCGACGGAGAAAGGCAAGCCGGCCGCCGGAGCTTTCCCCACCCCCGCCTGCGCGCCTTGCCGGGGGGAGCGCG